ATAATATAAAAAATATAAGTGACAAAGGCTGAACATTTTTTTGAAAAATATATAGAATACGAAATAATATTTTTTTTCACCTACTATACATGGCAGTGATTTATTTAAAGATTTCATTTAGAGGTAAATGATGTTAGAAATACATTTTACCTTACTATGGAGCGAAATAGTTGAAGATGGTACATTTAATCAGTGTTCATTACACACTTTCAAAATGTTCTGATAAAAATTATTTATTCGTTCTTTGATTACAAATTGAATAATTTTTTTAACGATTCGGGACCATTCCCTCGCTAGATTAATAAATGATTAAAATGAACTTCTCAAGAAATTTTCATTTAATTTCTCACTTCACTAAACATTTGATACACTTAATTTTGGCCGCTAATTAACTAATTATCCGAGCGATCTCGAAGACGCTTAACAGAAATCGCTTGCCTGGACCTAATGGTCTGCGAAATTGGTGCCCTGTAGTGCTTGACGTTTTTCTATTAGCTTCAGATATTAATAACTCTAATTCCCTGATTTCTCATTCGGAAAAACTCTTATAAACTTTATTTTTATCTTTTAATTAAGTTCGATTAATATTACCTACTAATTTGTAATACCTTATAAGAAATACTTTATACATTACAGTATATCATTTCTGATGGTTAAAATGGAAGGAGTAGAACTATGGAATTGTTATTGTAAGCTTTTTATGAAATAATATTACTTATTATAAACTAAAACGCAAAGGGTATATAACATTTTACTATTCTTTAAACTTCAACTCTGTGGTACTTTGAAACAGAAGATACGTATTAAAAGCGAACATAATATGTATATGAGTATAAAATTTTCTGTTTCTACGGATTCTTCGATATGCAAATGTTATCGTGTTTCAGTGAACCGCTTCTGCCATCTAGTGAAATAAATTATAACAACAATAAAATATATTATTAAATTAGATTCACAATCAATTCAGATCAGTACTTAATGTATATCAACTCAAAATTATTTTTTGCAAAATATATCAATAAAGAACTGAAAATATTTAGGATTCCTATTACTATTATTTGAAAAAGATAATGAAACGTTATAAAATATCACTTTTGATCAGTCACTCCTTCAAGAAGTAAGAAGAAATTAGAATCGAAATTATTTTTTTATGTTTACGTACGTATGTCAATAAAAAGTATTGTGTATACAAGTCTTAATTTTAAAGGTTAATTTTAGCAGCCTTAATTCCCTTAACGAGTTTGATTTTAAGGACTTTAATGTAAAATTTGTTTAGCGAGTCCGTAATGACATTAACCTAATCGCTTTTGTACCCTTATTTGATGGGTCAGTATTCTCAAAGACAATAACATTTTAAAGAACAAAAATATAATCTTTGTTTTGTGGAATATAATTGTTCATTTTACTACGAAAGCGAGGATTATGAATTAGCATTATTAAAATTAATTGTAAGGTACGGGTTGCAACAATAATAAAATAAAATAAAATGTTGAAAACGAACACATATCTGCAACATAAGGGATGTTGCGGATGCGTTGTCGACCTCTATTGTGGATGATGGCGAGGAAAGGGTGGGAAAAGGGAAAGGGCAACCGGCTCTGTCACTTATCAGAAGAAACGCATCCATTAAAGGCTACTCCACGCCGAGGCAGTCCATGTTCGAACTGTTCGAATCCCATAGTCTGCAGTTCATACTCTTATATCTAATTGAATAAAGTTTGATACAGACATCGTATAAAATTCAGGGAGTAATAAAATCCACCGAGAACAGGTTGTACGATATATCTAAAGACCTAATTTTCTATGGTATAATTATGAAATAACGATTTACCTTTCATGCAACTATCCTTTAGATATCTAACAAAAATAATATTACAGATTTATAGAGCATTTAATAGTGGAAGCAATTTTGGAAGAATACACAAAATAAATATAAATATTCTTGTATTTTTGAAAAAAGTTAAGAAAAGATTTAATATATTTTTACTATTAAGCTTTAAATTTGTAACTTATTAGTTATTACTTAACAGCTTAGACTCTAATTGTAAAGTATGTATTTTTTATATGAAGTCACTTTCTACACAAAAACCCAAAACCCTGAATTGTATATATTATTCCTCCATCTTTTTACTCTTAATTACTATCGTTTCTTTACTAATTGATGCTGTATTCAGATTTTTAATATAAATTTTATTATACACATCAGACAAATATGATTCAAATGGAAAAATATTTTAAGAAGTACCTCTACTTACAGCTTATGCAAATAGATAATCGCTTTAAATAGAAAGTTGCGCAAAATTTTACATTAATAAGGCATAGAATAAAACAAACGAAAGTCTCCCCGACGTCAAAAGTAAGCGTAATTAATATAAGTCTGCAACCATTAATTCAGTTTTTGTTGTGTCATATTTCATACCATCCGTACTTGACGTTGCAAAAACTGCTCCGAAATTTGTATAAAAGAGCTTCGAAATCTATTCATCTTGAGGACTTGTGTTCGTGCATATGACGAAATGTCCAGCTTTCATATTTCACGTTCAAAACATCATTTAGACTGAGTATTATACGATACTGCTACCTGAATACGTGTTCCATAGTATAATTCTTTATAGCTAACGAGAATTATTCTTGTTTTTTCTAACATATTCTTTTTAGCGGTTAAAATAATAAAGGCAGTATTTTTATTATATACTCCATATTTACATATGAAAATCAATTTCCTTTTCAGTTTCCCAGTCTCGCTATCACAAATGACGAATTGTTATAGTATATTGATGATGGAAGAAATATATTATGAATTAAATTTTGTTAAATTCTAATTCAAATGAACCATAAATTCAACATAATAAGATACCTCAGTCCGCACCTGACCAACGTGTAAAATATCCAAAGGGGTATCGGAATTCAACCATAAATCCTTGCTCTTATCAACTGGATGTACGTTTGGGAGTGTTACCTGTCTGATATTGTTGAAATGGATATAATGCTATCTATTTATCAAATGTTCAACAAATGTACAAATATTTTAACTTTGTGTTAATAAACTTATATTGTTTTATAGATTGCATCAGTGACTTTGTCTTATTGGGACAGTGAATATTGATAGTAATTTTGGAAATATCTTATGTTTTAGAATTAAACAATATTTAACAATATAATAATATAGCTACACGATATTAGACTTACAGCCAATCGCGATCAAAGTATACAGGCTGCTAGGCGTGGTACCTCGGGACAGGGTACATTAAATACATATATACTACTAATAGTTAAAATCTGTAGAACAGCTTCGCTAATTTAGATTCGCTGTATAAATAATTGTTTATGAACAATACAAATTTTGAGCCTGATCTGATCCCTATTTCGTATTCCCTATGAACTATATAGATCTTAGGTCAATTTATATGAATAAGTATTATTTAAAAATTTGAGAAAAATTTTACATATAGACTTTATTAGCACATTGTAAGATAATAATAGTAAAGAGTAAGTGAAGTGTTATTTCTCATGTGGTACATAAAATAATAATTAACATTATATTTAAAACTAAGGAAATAAATAATAAATTTCTTAGTTCAATAAATAAAGCAGCTTAACTCATAAATATAAATGTTTTATATAAATAAACTCAATCCTATCAAAAGCCTAATTAATCATTTAAATATATATTTTTATATGTAGTGGCTCATTTATAAAATTAAAACTGATTGTAATTCCTTTCAAGCTTCCAATATTTTAATTTAAAAATCTCATTCAATGTAAAACATTTTTTATATACTAAATGAGATATCTGCAAATGTATCTTTTGTCACAAAGCCTTTTCATGAAGCACTAATGACGTTGTAACGCGAAACAAACAAATTACCTCAGTACAAACTCCGCTTTTGATTACTTGGTTATTATTAATTTCGTTTAATTAAACATTATTCGGGAAGCTATGAAGAGTTAAGATGGAACGTGCATTTTACATCGCAGTGCAAAATCTGTTTGGCATGTTAATTTGTTGGAATAAATTATCCATTTGTGTAAATGTTTCTTGTCTAAGTCTTTTGGTGACTGAATAATATTTAGTTATGTTTTTATAAATGACCAGTATATCCTCAGGATGATTCAACCTACGCTAGTGTTTTGCATTACAGTATAAATATCCTATGACTAAATTGCATTATCATTTTCTTAAATTCAAAACTATTACTCATCTAGAATTGTATCTAATTATATTATAAACAATTTCGATGATTAAACATTTAATGTACACCATTTAACGAATCTATGGAATAATAATTTGATGTTATTTTATACAAAACGTCATATATAACTTCAAATAATTTTCAACATCTCCAAGTATGGTATTGTCTTCTGAAAAACTATCCAATAGTACTAGAGGTGTCATTACAGTTTTTTTAACATAACGTTGCAGTACTTTATAATTTATAAATCATAAGGATTTATTGAGTCTTCAAAAAGTGTAATAACCTTTCAAATATCAGCGAGCTCGTAATCCCCGAGGTGTAATTAATTATTTTGAATGTACCGTGTCTTTCACGTTTTAATGGGGAAGATAGTCATTTAAAATTAATGGGCGGCCATCTTGCTTCTCATCAAAATAAGCCGTTAAATAAACGTAGGAGGCATTGTAGAGATAATAACAGAGAAAGTAGATTTATTAGAAAACGCTGTTGTGTATTTGCTTCGGATATTAAAATGAATTTTATGATCGCTATGAACGGAATAAAGCTTTTATTCTGTTCATAGCGATGGAAGGATACCTTAAAAAATAACACTAGCCATTAAAACAAACAACCATATTGTCTTTTCTATTTAAGTATTTTGTTTCTCTTTCAATATTTTTAATAACAAATATTTTTTACAATTTTATTAATTTACTGATCGCAACAAAACATTATTTTCTTTTCAAAATAAGCAAGCCTTGATATCAAAATTATTCTAAATATTTTTTTTAGACTCACAGAAAATGAGTTTCATATACTCGTAAATCAAATGTCTTCTTTCATCTTCTCAACATTAAGACGTTTAACACCTATAGCTTCAGCTTGCTGCACATTATCAGGTAACGGTTCATTATCCAAATCAGGTACCAGCAAAGTTGTGAGACCAGCAGCAATTGATATACTCCCAAATAACAATGTCGGAAGACTTTCCATATACTGAGTCTGAAATAAAATATTTTAAAAACAATCTCTATATACAACAAAGGTATAAAATATAAAGTTTAATTCGATCCATAGTGGCAATTACACTTACTAGTAGTGGTGTCATTGGCGCCAAAATGGATCCGATACGGCCGATAGCTGAACACAAAGCGTGCATAGAATTTCTCGAATAAGTTGGAAACAATTCCGAAGTGTAAATATATACGGTGCCGAAAGTGAATGTTGATACAAATCTTCCCAGAAAGTACATACCCGTTGACATCCATACATATTCTGGAAATGATAATTTAATTCTACATTTAATGAAAAGTTAATTATATCGAAGATTTTTGTCAGTACATATTTAAATGAAACTATGGTTTCCATATATGCATACATATGATTAATTTTCATCGAAGTTTCGTTTACTTCACAGCAACCATGATCACTGATATATATGACTGTCATCAGACGAAAAAAATATAAGAAATCCATAGCTTAATTTAAATATTAATTAAATTAATTTAGAAGAAAATCGTAAAATAAATAATAATAGTACTTTTCGGCACGAAGGGTTGAGTTAAACATAAGAGTCCTGCTGTTAGAAATGAAACAAGAAGTGGCTTCTTCCTTTTAAATCGTTTTAGTACATAAAACATCGCAATACTGGCTGGAATATCCGATAAAGACATGATGGCAAAATTCAAATATTTGTTCCCGGCCAGCGACCCCACATTCACTATTAAGCCAAAACAGATGAAAGTACAAGAAGTCCACCATAATAAACATATTAAAAATCGTTTTGTAACAATCCTTGATCGGAATGTCTCCCTCAAGGCAGAATTCTTTGTCCCATCTTCACACTGTATATTAAGAAGCATTTTTCTATCCAGAGAGATTTTATTTATCTTCGCCATTTTTAATAATAACTTTGTTGCTTGTTTCCTCTTTCCTTTACTTAATAACCATCGCACGCTCTCATCCATGATGAAATATATTATGATGTACAGGAAAGCTGGAGCGTAAATAACTCTAACAAAGTCTCTCCAGTACGGCACTACGTACGCTGCTATGGCAAATGTTACTCCACCCATCGCAGCAATGACGCACAAAAATATTTGTTGGTGCAATCTGTAGTCGCTGTGAACCAGTTCAACGGCTGAAAAAAATTAAAATAACTCTGACTTGTTTTTCCTTTATCCATCCTATATGTTATAAAGAAAATATTTTACCTAAAATAAAAGCAGGTGAACAATTGTCTCCTATAGTGGCTTCTAGCCACTCTAAAATCACGTATAATGTATAGGTATTCGAAAAACTCTTTGCAATGCCTAGCACACCGGCAGCTAGACCTGATATTACTATAGCGGCTTTCCGTCCAATCCTGGAAATGAGCGTACAGCGTTAATTAAATTAATAACTTAAAAAGTTTTAAGGAAAGTTAAACGTATACTGAAACAAAATCTTGACTCGTAAAAGTTTAATAAAATTTAATTTCAATGTGAATACTTAGATACAATTCTACTTTTTGAGTGAAAAACTATTTATTTGAACACTATAAAAATTATAGAGTAGAATGAATAGTGGTAATTTTCAATAATAATACAGCACTTTCTTTAATAATATAAATTATAATCAGTTACGTTACTTTCAAAACATACTTATCGGATAGCTGTCCTTGAAAAAATAATCCACACATGAGTCCAATACTATGAACGGTTCCAACAAAAGTTCGTTTCCAATTCTGACACGCTAACTGAAACTAACAAAGTAATGGATTTTAAATTAAAAGAATAGAAAACGTTTCTTCCATTAAGTTAAATCTAACGTTCATTATTAAACTATTATAGTTCCGACATTTTTAAAGGATATCGTATGAAGAAATAACTTTTGTTATAATATAAACTTATGATTTAATAAAGTCTTAAAACATATTTTAACAAAATATATTAAATTAAAGTACATTTTATAAGAAACTAGAATAGATTTAACAATATAAGAAGAGCCTGATATAAAAGCTTTAGAATGTGAATAAAATAATACCTCAGCGACAAAGCTATCGTTTTTCTTGTAAACCCATTCATCACAAGTTTCCACAATTGATGTGTTGAAGCTGAATGGATCACATTCTTTGAGATCAGATCGGTATCTCTTACATCCTCGTGAGTCCGGAGGAACAGTGAAATTGTGCCACGAAGACTCGAAAACATTGCTTTGCATTTCACACGGTTCTATTTTGCATCTAAAACAGATAGTTAAATTAAACTCCTTAGCATTCAAAGGACTTTGTTTCCTAAAAAAATATACAATTACTTCATTTCATGCAGTAAACCAGATGTTTAAACCATAAATTATTTAGTTGTCAGTTACATTATTCATAATTATTGTTCCATAACAAAACTAATACTATATTTATAAATAATACACGTAAATTGCAAGACACTGACTGTTTTATGTACCTTTTTTAATTCTCATTTATTTTAATTAGTCTATGCTTGAAATTGTGTATTATTGTTAAACAATTTTACCTGTACGGCGTTTCCTCTGCAACTATAACGTAATTAATGCAATGCATGCCATTATTGAAAAAAGCAAAACTGATCAGAATTATTGCTTGAACGTGGTAACGATTAATGGGACCGAATTTTTTTAACACCTCATCTAAATGCACACTTTTCTCATCAATTGCTACCATGTTGAAATTATTTTATAGAAGCCATTGCGGTTAAATAAAATGGCTAGTATTATTTAAAAGCGTTGAATGTCTGTGAGACATCTTATCTCTTTTCTTGTGTACCGTGAACTATTATTTAGGAACTACTTTTTATAACGGAACACCATATCCCCAATAGACGTTAGTCTCAATAATATAATCGACAACGTCCGTTCAATTCGTACCACTAATAATATAAGTGTTTGTGATGATCCATCTCCTTTTACGAAACAATTTATTGTGTCTAAGTGAAAGACAACAACAGTAGTCAAATAAGGTATTTTTTTAATATACTAATAAATTTAAACAGAATATTCTATTCGCAGTAGATGTGGGACTGGTGGTATAATTTAACGGCATCTTGAATGAGCTAACTCGAAATATTATATTAGTCTAAATTTAAAATTTCGGGTTTTATCATCGATAATTATCATGAATAACTTTACAACCAAATTCGTTCAAGAAAAAGGAAGATCTGTTTTGAAGACATAAATATATATCTGTTCAAATACCCAAAACTATGATAGCTATCGATGAACAGCATAGCATAGCGAGCAGGCAAGTAGAATACCTAGTAAGAGGAAATAGTTTCTGAAAGCGCTCTGGCTAGTAATCTACTAATCAAAGGCATTGTTAGGAGATAGAGCCTCTGTCTAGATTTACCTAATTACGTACTCGACTCACCAACGTTTAAAACACACTGTTGTTATGTTTGGGAAGACGCAATATTCATAATTAAATTTTTATAATTATTACTGCAGCGGTCCATTTTATTGTTAAAATGTTAAAAAGGAAGTCATTCTCATCTCATTGTAGTTTATTTTCTTTTAATTTAGAAATATCAATCTTATACTCAGAAGCACTGTGAAATACTTAATATGCTTAAAGTACTAAAGTCGTTAAAACTATACAAATACGAACTTTATTCCATACTTCATTGATAACGTTTTAGAATTAGCAAATATTTATTTAAAAGCTAGGATCAAGTAATCTAACAAATTAAAAGTTTAATATTCTTCATAACTGTGTGTATTGTTGCTAGAATTAAATCTTCGAATGAGTCTTATATCTACTAGGTTTTTCATTTGGAGACACCAACAAGAAACTCAACTGATGATGATACATCATTGTGGTGAAGAACATTATTTATTTATTTATTTTGGAAATACCATCGGCATATTCACAAACCATATGTGGAAAAAAAATAAAGAAGTAAACTTGTTCAGTGTGATACACCATTACAGGTATTTAGATTATTACTTACATGATAACAAAAGTAACTAAACGTAAGGTAAACACTACACTAAGACATTTCAAGAACCTGAATACAATAGATAACAAACATTTAAATATCAATTACCAACTAAAACAAACAAAATAAGATAACAAACATTTAAATATCAATGATTAACTAAAACAGTATTTATTATTTTTTTTAAACTATCATTACTTTGGCTGCATATGTCGACGACATGGGAATCAATTTGATTGTAGGTCCTCATACAGCGAATTAAAGGCGAAAATTTTCCGACATTTGTGCGAAATCTAGGAATGACGAAGGTGCTTTTAATTTGATATCGAGGAATGGTTTTCGGAACATATAAATTTATTTGAGAAAGTAGCTTTGAAGTGTTTATTGAGTTGTGAATGAGCTTATGTAAAATTAAATTTATATATTATATACATTAAGTCATTCAGAGACCGTCGTTTCTCCAATGTATCTAGCTTGAAATATTTTAATCGTGTTACATAGTCTGCTCGATATGGACAGTGCCTGTCTTAAATAAATAACTTAAATATAAAGAAATTTAGTGCTTAGACTTGTTTTTAAAGTATCAATATGGTATTTATATCCAGGTTATTTTTAAGTGACTAAAGACGTCATGGGAAAAAAAAGATTTTTTCAAGTATGTAAATCTATACATACTAAAGCTTAAATAAAAATTACTATTTCTTCCATTTCATGATATCTTTTAAAATGTTTATAATAACTATAAGTGTTATAAAAAATATATATTATATTGTTGTGTTCAAGAAATAATAAAATATCATACTTCGAATATTTATAGTTATCGGAACGTTGTCAGTAATTAAACTGGCATTAAAATATGTCCAATTAATTTAATCAAGAGAATATTTTAACAAGTGATGTTGTAAATTTAAAGATAATATAAAACAGGTTTGAAAATAATTCTTAATAGTCACTTTAAGTGCATTATCGGGCTTGTCTAATGACTAGTCTTGTTGGTATTACATTAATATATAAACCTTTTCATACATAAGTAGTTTTGTAAATTATATGACATTTTTGTTTTTTGATTCTACGAACGACAATTAATGAGAAAAATACTGTCGCATGATAATTAATCACCATACTCCATAGCTTTTTCCAAAGAAGAGGGGGTCCAATCGATATATAACCGGGCTTGGCTTTGCAGTAAAAATCTCCAGACTTCCTTTTTATGAAGACGTTGTAGATCACGGCTAAAACTTCTGATGAGAAATAATTTCGGTCAGGTACATTTTATGCCTTAATTCTACAGAAAAAACAAATAAAAATTCAAAGGTATCATGAGCACATAAGCATTTTTATAGAAAATGAAAACGTATAAGAGTTTCTAGGATATTCTGATGATTTCAAATAATTTATATATTTAATAAATATAGAAATCAAGTATAAACATGAAGTTTGTTCCACAGTCAATGGGTTACATAAAAATAACGCACATATATTTTTGAGGATTGCACTGAACCAGATTCGTCTACACTGCTGATAATGGATCTGAACTTATATACCTTCTGGGCAACCAACGATAATAAATGGTATAGCTTGTATAATAGTTACTTTGTTTAAATTACACATTTCTATACTGCATCAAAGTTTTTAGGTGGATTTAAGAATGGCCTAAATTAAAAATGAAGTGTATAGAAATCAACGTTTACAAAATCGGGAAATCTTTCTGCGAGGCGATTTGAAGAACTTGAATAATAAGATTGTCTGAAACTCCTCAACAGTATATTCTAACATTTGGTTTCAAGTATAAAACATGTAAAAGTTGAATGCATTTCAATCTGTTGAGTTGGAAAAAAAATATTGCTCAATTGTTCAGAAAAGTCAGTATGATAGTTTCTCTTTAGGGGTAAAATTCTGTACACGTATCTCTACACTTATTGTATGTACAATAATAATTGCAAGTTCATATATTTTTATTTAAAAATTATTTACTTAAATAACACACAGACACGCCTAATACACATATGTATGTGTACATTCGTGTTATCAAATGCGTTATACAAAAGACTGGTTATTGTTAAACAAAAAATATGCTAGTTTCAATGACAGTTCAAAGTGGTCGCAGTATTAGAATACGTGTAACGAGGAGTATTATATTTTCCATAGCATTTTGTCATTAGATAACCGAATGTAAGAAAATGAAATATTCGTTTTTGAGGCAGGTGAGATATTCTTTAGTAATGTTTTATAAAAATGCAAGCTTATAAAAAGTATTAACACACGAATTTTATCTCTGTAAATATTTAGATTATTTTTCATTTTTATCATAGGGTATGTGTGACTACGTTATACTTGTCACCCGTGGAATAGATTTTTTTTTATTTTATCTTCTTTTTGTCACCGATTGTGATATAAAAAGTTTATTTGATATTCACAACATGGCAGATGGTAATAATAATATAATCTCCAAATGAAAATACACAATTATTTTAGTATTCCATGAAATCTTAAACAGCGATAGTAGAAAATAGCAATAGGTCACAAAACCACTATTATTACCTAATTAATAGTATACTAAATAAGGTGAGTACACAACTTTTTTTATTTCTAGTTGTTCGTTGCAACTTCAGCACAACTAGCTGTGGTAACATGTGGAGGAGTGATCGGGTTCCCCAGCATCTTGCTCCAACAATTCAGACAAAACGATAGCCTCATAAAAGTAGATTTTCATACGGAATCATGGATAGGTAAGATTAATGTTGCTATTAAATTATATTTAAAACAAAAAATATAATTTAAAAAATTTTGTTAATCATTCCCGATTATTTGATTTTTTGTTACTTTAACATACTCTTGCGCGTTAATTCTTTAGTAGACCCACAACTAAGTAACCTAATTTAGTTTTATTCAACTTTAAATTGATACTCATATTACGTGCATATAAAATTAAATCCGTTCGGTGTTTTCAGCTGCAGTTCCAGGTATTGCAGGAGTACCGAGCATATTTATACCATATCTAATGCAAATGTACGGACGAAGATTTGGGTTTCGTCTGATCTCCTTGCTTATGATAATCGGTTGGGTCATAATATACTTGGCCAAAAGTAGCGTAGCTATTATCATCGGAGAGCTGTTTCAAGGTGTTGGAAGTAAGTCTATGACAGTCATAACGTTTACAACTCTGAGTGAAATGACAAGTCCTAAATTTCGAAATAAATCATTGGCTCTGTACGGAATAGCTCAAGTTATTGGTATCACAATGGCGCATGTGTTAGGACGGACTTTTTCATTTAAGTCATTGTGCATTTACTTAAGTGGACCAATTTTAGTTGCATTTTTATTAAGTTTTATATGGCCCGAATCACCTTTTTGGTTGGCCTACGTTGGCAAGTTTGAAGAAAGTAAAAAATCTTTTATTTGGCTTCGAGGAAAAGATGAAGAAGCACAAAGGGAGATGAATGAGCTTTTAAACAGTCAAAGGGTCTTTCTTCTCTCAAGAACATCTAACAATAAATCTAGATATTCAAAAAAATCTATCACTGACATTTGGACACAAGTGTTTCGAAGAGATTTTTATTTACCAACATTTCATATGCTGATACTTTTATCCTGTTATTATTTTAGTGGTAATTTGACTGTAGTTGTGTACGCTATTAATCTCATAGAAAAAGTAACAATAGATGGGGACACTGCTTTTTTAGGTACTATTTTTATAGATATTTTTGTTATCATAGGTAACATCGCATGC